CTTTTGAAGGGAATAAATTATGAGGATATTCAAAGTCCAAGTCTTATTCAGCTATACAAAAAAAAGGAACCAAATGACCCTTTTCACTTTATATTATTTAGGATGACAAATATTTTGATAAATTTCATAATTGCTGTAGGCCCTTGTCAGCCATGTACAAATAAATTTCAATATCCTGTTACTAACAAGAGGTTTTAAATAATATTTATTTTCATTAATTTTTACCCATCCATTATTTCTATACCAATATATTTTTTTTTACATTTTTAACCAGGAGCATGAATATAACCTATTATAGAAAGGTTAATATAGATGGTTCCCTCAACCCCAGAAATTGGCTATCTTATAGCACTACTTTCGACAAAGTCTTTTGTCTATATTGTATTATGTTTGGTGGCCCTAAGTCCAATACTTTTTGGACTCAACATGGGGTAAATAATTGGAAAAACATAAAGCATGACTTAGAGAGACACGAAGCATCTTCTCTTCATAAAGATTGTGAATATGCAAACATGACTTGGCTTGCAAATAAACGCATTCAAGATCATTTGCTATCAAATAAGCTTGATATAATCATGGAAAATCGTAATATAGTTCATAATATTATCAATGCCATTATGTACCTTATAAAATGTAATATAGCCTTTTGGAGTTCTAATTCGAATGAAGGTAATTTTATGTGTCTCATAAAATTAATGGCAAAAACGGTTCCAACTTTACGTGCATACATGGATAACAACGAAAAATTGTGGAGAAAAAAATCAGATAAAATTTCGAGACCTTATATAAATTTACTGTCATATGGCCACGTGAAAAAAATAACTGAAATTATTAAGATAAAAATAACAAAAAGCATTATTCAAACAATTAAAGAGAATCGTGCCTATAGCATCATATTAGATGGAACATATGATGTGTCTAAAAAAGAATGCATAGCTTTGCTTGTACGGTATATAGAAGATGATCTGCATCCACATCCTGTAGAAAGGATCATACATGTTTTTACAACATCAGAAACCACTGGGGAAAATATAAAGAAACATGTTTTTTCTAAGTTTAATGATCTTGGTCTTCCTCTTGATTATTTGGTTGGACAAAGTATGGATGGTGCAGGGAATATGAGAGGAGTATACAAAGGAATGCAGGCTTTAATATTGAAAGAGGCTCCAAAAGCCATCTATATTTGGTGCCATGCACATCGGCTAAATTTAGTAGTTGCTCATGTTTGTGGATGCAAAATTGAAATGAAAAAGGCAATGGGAATATTAGATGAGTTATATAATTTTATGAATGGAGTTAGACGTCAAGGTGTGTTTGTTAAATATCAAATGAGAAAGTCCAAGAAATCTCTTAAAAGAATTAAAAACACAACAAGAATGAAACTTGAAACTTATATATTTTCAGAAATTGGTCATCATCCTACAAATCTGTAGAAATCTTTTTAGATGTTTATGAACATATTTTAGCATCATTAGTTGAATTAAAAGATTCTAATGACCCAAGCACCTCTTCCATTGCCGATGGGTTATTATCAAGAATTAAAGATGAAAATTTTATATTAAGTCTTTTTATTTTGAAAGAAATATTGAAATGTACACATGAGGCTTGTATTGAAATGCAGGCAGTTGGTAATGATTTGGCTTTGGTAACCAAATTAATACAACATACAAAAAATAAATTACAAAAACTAAAAGGTTAATATTAGTTACTATTTCTATAAATAATTTTAAAATATAGCTAATGGAGACAATATATTTTTAAAATTACATTCTTTATCTAATAGTTTTTTGAAAAAGAATAATGTAATAACTGATTTGTATAATATGAAATCAATATTCAAATTGGATCAAAAAGAATTCAATAATTATGTTGAACAAAAAAAAAACAAGTTGAATAAATTAAAAAAATTTAAATTATTATTTATTATTATAGATATAGAACGGAAATATTTTTCCCTGTTCTAAATGCAATAATTAATCACCTAAATGATCGATTTAATTATGATTGTTTAAATTTTTTATCACAGATATCCATTTTTACTCCCGCTGGAATTATGGATAATGAAAAAATAGAAGGATGGCAAATATCCGAAATTTGTAATACTTATCAATTGGATGTCCAAAACATTGTTGATGAATATAATGATTTTCGCTCTTTATATTTGAAGTCTCAATCAATCATTTTTTGCGAAGATCTTTTAAAAGTTAAAAAGAATGACGCGTTATATATTGATGAAAGTAATTTATTGATATTTTATTTGTAATTGTATATAATTAAAGGTATTGCAAACGATCAAATTACCAAAGAAAATATCAACAGCGAAATCATGACCAAAATAAAAAAATGGATAAAATTTTCTTTTATATTACCATACCGACTTTTAAATCAATTAAATTATTATTCAAATTTAAATTTATTATATAAATATTTATTAACCCTTCCTACAACTTCCTGTTCAGCCGAAAGAGCCATGAGTAAAGTAAAAATTAACAAAACTCGAATGCGGAATAAAATTTCGGACCCATTTTTGGAAAATTTACTGTTAATATCCAGCGAAATTGATGTTTTTGAAAAATTTACAATTGATGATATTATAACACAATTTGCTTTAACATCAATAAGGTTATCCAAATTATTAATAAAATAATTAATGTATCTTTTTCACGGCGAATATATAGGCTTTTAAATAATGTATATTTAATTTAACATTTTATAATTTCAATGCAAAATATACTATAATTCATTTTATTCTAATATTTTATATAATAGCTCTATTTACAATACATGTTTTTAATTATGTGGAATCAAGCTAAATATACCTCTTTAAATTTATTCGTCTTATATTTTTTACAATATTTTAGATCTTTTTCATAGAAATATTAATATGTTATCTCATTTAATTCACTTATATATATTTTATGAAAATAAAGTGAATACCAAATTATGAAAAGATTGCATTATTTAAATAAAAGTTCATTATCTCTTACAAATTTTTAAATTTTTTTTCCCTAAATAGGCTTGAAAGATTGTAAATAGAATTATGTTGTAAGGTTATAAATGGTGGCAGATAAGATTTTTTAAATAAAATCACTATACCATCGTAGGTCTGTAAATTTCGCGGCCGAAGGCCGCAGGATTTTTTTAGGTGGGTATGGGTAGATTTTGGAGGGGTTTGCCTCCATCAAATTTTCTGCCATGTAGACGCTGCAATTTCATATCATTTAGGGTTGTAGATGAAAGTAATGACGGATTACAAAAGCAGTGCAGAAGCGTCGCTAGCCTTCATAATCTCAGGGGGCTCAACTAAAAAAAATTTATGGGGAAGCGAAGCCCCCCGTTTTATATTAATATATTATACTTTTTTAAAATTTGTTAACTCTGATTAATTTTTCTGATTTTCATATTTTGTCATTTATTATATTATGCAGACAAAATAAACTGGCATATAAAAAATCACATAATGCAATAATATAATTCTTATCAACTTACATTGACAAAAAGTTATCAAACTAGTACAATTCTCTGTAACCATTTTAGACAATGTTTTATAGAATGGACTAATAAGTAAAATTTTATAGGCCTAAACTAGATCAACAATTTTTGAAGGAGAGAGTATAAACGACCAATCCAAATCATTATGGTGGTTAGAGCTTACTCTTAGATGACATGATGGAAGCTAGATAAGTAATAGAGAAAATTATTGTGAGATATTAAATTTCTAAAAGATTATCTTCCATTTTAAATGATATATAAACCACTACACTGTTTACCATTATTGTTTACCTAAAATATGCAATTATATGCTATCAGCCTTTGTAGTAATAATCTTAAATTACATAGCAACACTAGATGCTGGTTAATTTGCAGTAATAGCCATGACACTCACGATGTAAACTAATATTAGAATTTATTATGTTGGATAAATTGATAAAATAAAAACACTAAAAATCTTTGGAAGAAATAATTATGCAAATATATTGAAGCCTGGAGTTATTTACACGGCAATGCCATATTAGAAATGAAACATTTTCTAACGATAAAATAAGGACCAGAATGATATGATGAAACCATTAAGATTTTATATATTGTCGCACCACCTTGATATATTATATCTTAAAATAATAGTATTTGTAATAATATCAAAAATATACTTGTATTAAAAATTTAATTCAAGACTGTTTTTCGAAAAAGAAAAAAATAGCTTTCCTAAAAACACGTAAAAAAAGAGGAGAAAAGATATGAAATTTATTACATCTATTGCAAGATGAATAATAAAATGTTTAATTTTTAAAATTATTTATATCTAAATAGATGGCGTTAAATACTTGAATGCAATTTGTTATTATATTTATTATCAAAACCATTTATTAGTAAAATTTATTATGATATTAACTGTAATATATTATATAACTGTCAAATACGTCTATAAAAGTGGCATTATATCTAATATTTTATAAACAACTGTATATAGTAGAGGATTATAAACTATATGTCTACTTACTTACTTTTTATAAAGAAATCTCTTATACTTATTTGGACCTTGAGAATATTTTTAAGGTATGATAAAATTTCAAAATAAATATACAGTTGATTAGTCATTTTGAACTCGGCTAATTACAATATTAAATTTGTTACTTTTCAAATAATATATGATTATATATATTTATTTAGTGTTAAATAATAATTTAAATAACAAAAGTCAATTAAACTTCAACTGTTAAAGCTAAATTAATATTTAGTGAGTTATTGATATTATATTTATAAAACAGAATTTGATTGCAAGCTGACATAGTGAAAATATAAATTATATGTATTAATCTAATCCAATAATTAAAATAATATTCATTTAATAAAAATTTAAATAATCTTGGTAATTTCTAAATAATAAATTATATTTATATATTACTTAATGGAATTATAAAAGAAATCATTCAGTGGGCAATCAAAAATATATTTTTAGTTCAAAGGGATATTAAGGAGCCATTAAAATATTTTTTGCTTTAGGGGGCTAAGGGAGCTCGAGCCCCTGTGCGCCCCCCAACGCCACTGAAGCAGTGTACAAAAACAATACGTCCTGATAAAGATGAGTCATATGCCTTTGCCTTGGGATACTGGTTAAAGAAAAACGCAAAATGAGATATCTGTCAATGTCAGCATTGGTAGCCCCCTCTAAAATAGAATCATGAACGACAATGTTAACTCAACCATAAAAAGGTAGTAAGAATTGTTATAAAGGCCACGACAGAACTACTGCATATTTTTCCATTAATAAAGTTGATGAAAATAAGTGAGGTTAGGACATGGCTTGTTATCTATAATAAAAACAAAAGAATAATTAAAAAACAATGTATTAAACCTGAAGAGGAGTCAATATTAGGTTAACCTATCTAGAAATAGTGGGAATATCATCCATCAGAAGCTAAAATAGATGTATTCTAAAATGAAGTATAAGAAGACATGTGCGCCGACAGCATTTTCGGCGGCGGCGTTTCTTTTTTTAAAATGATCGGCTGGCGGCGGCGAATCGATTTAGACGCCGCTACAAAAATCGGCGGCGGCGTCAAATATTTTTCTAACTTAAATTTTTTTAAGTAAATTTTTAAATTCATTGGAAACACTTATAAAATAAAATTTATACTTTATTATGTTTATAACTATAATTTAATGATTTTTATTAAGTTATAATTATCATGAATAAATATTATTTTATTAAGATTTAAAGGACATAATAATGATCTTTTAGAGTTCAGAGTGAGCCCAGCTATAGAAAATACACGCTCGCTGGGTGTGCTTGTAGCTGGAACGCACAGGACCTTTCTAGCTAATATTGAAAGTTTAGGAAGATCCAATGCTCTTATCTTCCAAAAATCTAAGACATCTTTTATCTCCAAATTATAAGGCGAAAATAATGAATAACACTCTTTTTCTAAACTAGTTAAATAGTGTTGTTGTTCCAGGTTATTGTTTTGAATAGATGAATGCTTCGTAGCCAATGACTTTAGATAATCGAGTTTTGAAGCAACTTCCGTCGTTTTACATTCGTTTAATTCGTCCGTGTAAGACCGTAGAGAGGTAGCGTGTTGACATAAAAATTCAACCGGAGTAATATTTTTTTCCTTTAAATATTCATTTACTATGTTTATTGATTGAAAACGAGGATCCAAAAGTGCTCCTAACACCTAAGTAAAATAAATAAAAGAAAGAATAATGTATAAAAAATAATTTATGTATTTTAAAATACTACCTGAAGATCGGTTATTGGAAATCTATGATCAAATTTAGTAAGCATATTTTGTTTAAGGGATGCTATGGGTGGACTATCATTTTCTTTTACAATTAAATGATTTTTAATTTCACTACGAAATAATAAGGCTAAATTTATAGTAACTCCTTTTTGGACAGATAAAAATTCAACAGTTTGTTTGAAGGTTTTAAGAAAATTTAAAAGTTCATACACAAAGTCCCAATCGGAGTTAAATAATTTGAGATCCGGTTTCTCCATTCTATTTAATAGAATATTTATAGGATTTTTGTTATTGCCAGTCACACTTTCCAGCATTATTAAAATACTATGCCAACGTGTAGGCACATTTAATTTTAAGGTTTTATGTTTTTTCTCATATGATTTTTGATTTTCACTATCATCATCATACCCCAAACGATCTTCATAAAAAGGATCATTATCTATCATCCAAATCTAAAATATCCGATGTATATGATATCGATTCAAAACATTTTCTATTTTCTATATCGTTTATATTTTCAAAATCCGCTGTTTTGAATCTTAAGGCAACTATAACTTCTCTAACTTTTTTAATGAGATTTTCAATTTTATTAACTTTTTTTATTCCATCGACTGTCACTAGATTATGTAATCCATGCCCCAAACATAAATGATGGTCATATTCTCCTAGACGAACACTTTTCTTTACATTGGGTCCTGCATCCGTAACCATTTGAATTTTCTTGGACCCTAAATCAAATTCATTTTCAATTTTTTCTATTTCGGAAAGAATAGTTTAAGCGGTATGTTTTTGGGTGACATGATGTGTCGCCAATGTATAAAATACAATATTAAAATTATTATCTATTTCGTGAAAAGTAAAGGTGATATAATTTCGCCGTCTATATTTGTCTGTCCACATATCAAAAGTTATAGCACAAAATTTAGGACCTTAATTTGTTGGCATATGTATGCTTTCATTGATAAATAAACATCATCTAATCCACTCCGGCTAAGTGTAGTTCTGTCAGGTAATTCTTTGGCATCTGAAATAATGCCATATTTCTACATAATAAAAAGTTAATAATAAAATATTATGCCATAAAAAATTCTAAATGTGGGATGTTATAAAATAATTAAATATCTTAACAAATAAAAATTAAGATTGCCCTATAAAAAATTATAATGATTTTACAAATAACCTTTAGAAAATCTTGCATTCCAGTATTATTTATAGAAGAGAATGTCATTAAATCCTTGCAACACATGAGAACATAATTCCTTACCAGAATCCATTTTTTATCTTTTATAGGGTCAGTTGTATCTTTTACAATGGGTTTGAAAAATAACTTTAAATTTTGTTTAGATATTTCTTCTTTACATGATAAATCATGTTTGTCAAGTAAATGTTTTATTATATTTGATGTGCTGATATTTTTTGAAAAAGATTTGATTGGATAATTAATTAAAAAATTTACTAATATTTATAAAATAATCAAAAAATTTACTCTGAAAATGAAGAATTATTTTCATCCTCACCATCTTTATCAAGTGCTATTTGCAAGCATATATTACAAACAGGCGCGAACGCAGGAATTTGGTCTGGGGGGGGGGGGATAATAAATTTTTTTGAGAAATATTATTGTTTTTTAAAAATATCAAGCATAAATTTATTAGGACTAATAACTATTCCTAATACACAATTTTAAATTAATTTGAATTATAAAAAAATTATATGTAAAGAATCACTTAAATGACCCAAAATAGAAATTTGAATTTTTTGAGCCTTTACACAAAAAGTTTCTTAGGAATAATTGTATTTTGTATGTTATATATTTACAATGTAAAATCCAATCTTCGTTAGAATTGAGCTAATTTTTCAATTATCTCATCCTTGCTTGTCGTCAAATGCCTATGAATATTCAAAAAATCCAAACCTTTCAATCTACTTTCACATGTTGTACTGCTTGGTATGTTTTTCAGAGACCTGCAGGCATGGCTCCTGGGCCGGACAATATTTTAATTTTTTTAATTATACCAAGGCCGGACCTAAATTTTTTTAAAAAAACAACCAAGCCGGGCTGCTGTATTTTTTAAAACAGCCTATATTTGAAATCGTAATTATTAGCTATAAAAATCAAAAATAAATATAATTTATTTTTAAAAAATCCAGGCCGGGTCTGAAAATTTTATTTTAAAAAAAGCCGGGCCGAGCCTGTAAATTTTTAAAAAAAGCCGAGCGGCCTAAAAAATTTTTTAAAAATAGCGTAAAAAATCTTTAAAAAAAATCCGAGCCGTGCCCTGCAAATGGTACTTCTGCAGGCCTCTGTTATTCTTCTTGAAAAAGAGAGTGTTCTCTTTTTAGTTTACTAATGGGAAGAGTTTATAAACCCTTTTAATACATTGGGAATTTAATCTAAAATGTGTTTGAAATAATGCAGAGCATCCATAGCATTTTTTGGGACTATATCAATTATAGTTAATCTTATAAACATAGTTATTCAGCTAGTAAGGCATCATAAGATATTTTAACATCTTCATAATAAAAATCTAACAAATATTTTTTTTTTCTATCACCATCTGAAAAAGGTTGGGAAAGCTTTTGTGGAAGTAATATTTGCAGATGTAAGTGCTGCATGATATATTAAAAATTCATTTATTTGGGTTATAAATGTATCTGCATCTAAGATAAACTCTTCTACTGATCCTATATTAATGTTTTAACGATGAGCTTGCCTTGCTGTCGAGGGAAACAAATATTAAACACGTATAGCTCTGCTTTTGACTCAACAATAAAATATGAAATTCTTCATCAACATTAGCCCTAATTTCCTTGAGTTCTGATAAAATGCTCTCCGCTATTCTCATCTTCTTAATCAAATCATTGTCATGTTTTTGAAAAGTAATACTTAAAATAGTTGTATAATTAAATAATACATTCTAATGAGAAATAAAATTTGGAATAAGCATTGAATCCAATAATTTTCTTGCTTCTGAGGAAATATTTCTTTCAGGCCATTGTAATATTTCAGTAATAGCAAATAATTGGCTCTTCTAACTCCTTAATAGGTGTTAGTGCTTGATGGAAGAGGCTCTATCTCGTTGGAGACAAGGTTGCAATTTCTTTTTCCCTGTTGGACCAGAAGTTTCAGAAATAATTATTATTTGACTAGAAATTTGAAAATGGTAGATAAATATTACGCCACTAAAAATTTGAAAATAATAAGTAAATATTAAGGCGGAAAACTTGAAATCGAAATTAATTGATAAAATAACTTATGAATGTGATAATAAATGTAATATAATATATATTTAATATGAGATACGAATAAATATTAACAAATATAAATTAATATAAACAATAATATTTTTGAAAAATATATCCGGCATCTGCATTTTTTGGCTTTGGGGGGGATTTGTCCCCCTGCCCCCCCGCTGCGTACGCCAATGATTACAAAAGACTTTATCTGTAGCAACACTGGTTCTCTTATTATTTGTGTCAGTTTTTAATATTAAGGATCCAAAATGTTTCCATGCAAAAGAAGGTTTTGCTTGCAAGGATATACTATATTTTGTTACAAGGTATTGCAATGCTGCATCCATTATAATTGTTTTAGTCCTGGTATTTTTATATATGTTATAATGGCAACAAAATAAAAATCATTAAATAAAATTTCTATTATGATAAAAAATAAATTTTATATAACGAGTTGTAAATTATTTGAATCAAAATAAAAGAATAAAATATAGATTTACCTTTTCAAATTTAATGTCCTAATCTTATTTTATCTAGCACGTTGGTCACAAACCTGCCCAAAGTGAGCGAATAAGGATTGTTACAAATCAAATTTATAGCAAATAATATTTATTAATTTTAAAAAATAAAATCGCATTTTTTAATAATTCAAATAATATTTAATATTTTTCTTATATTCATAAATAATATATAAAATAAATAATAAAAAATATGTATCACGCCGCCACGCCGCCGAATTTTTACATCGGCGGCAACGTGTTGAGCGCCGACAATTTTTTGGCGCGTGGCGTCGGCGTGGTCAAAATCATCGTCGGCGGCGCATTTGACCGGCGGCGCACATGTCTAAGTATAAGCATTTTTAGTATATATAGATGAATACTTTATTTTGCATTTGGTAGATTTTATTGGGCTTCACGTCATATGACCCAGTATAAATTTTTTGCTTGAATATGAGTTGAATTAAGAATTGAATGATATTTATTTTTTGATAAGCCCAGCCTTCGGCTGGAGGAGGTAAATAAAAGAAAATTAAATGGAAAGAAAATAGGGAAATTAAAAGGGAAAGGAGGGTAAAGATAAAGAAAAAGGAAATTAAGGAAAGGGAAATGATAAGAAAGGGGAAGATAATAAAAGAAATTAAAAGGGAAAGAAAGGAAAGGATAATTTTAGTATTTTTAAATTTTGATTTTTCCCATATTATTTGAGACTGTTGTTAAAATAATAAATGTTAGTGATATCTTTAGTAGGGATACATATGTTATCGGCATAGCGTAATCAGTCTACATTTTATATGTTATTGAAAACTATTTTTTGAGTTAAAATATATATTTTATAAAAATATTTACATAAGACTAACATTTAACATTAAAAAATCCTAATCTAGGTTCCAGGTTACAATATCTGGAAAAAATATCCAAGCATCCAAGATCTGAATAATTTAAAAGATTTTCTCAAGCCCTAATAATTTTGAAACCAAGCCCAGAGATATTAAATTTATAATTAATGAAGGGAAAATCTCTAATTTACCAATTAGTCTACGGGTAAAATATATTACTTTATAAAAATAATAACATAAGACTAACATTTAACATTAAAAAATCCCAAAATATGTTCAAGCCTACAATATTTGGAAAAAATTTTCCAAGCATCCAAGATCTTACTAATTTAAAAAAATTTTCTCAAGCCCATTTCAATCCCTAATAATTTTTGAAAACCAAGCCAATATTAATTTTGAGAAATATTTTTTAAGCCCAATCCAACCCATAATAATTTTGAAAAAAATTTTCCCAAGCCTAGAGATATTAAATTTATTGAAAATTCTTATATAAAATAATAATAATTTGTAATAGTAAATAATGTAATACTTTGACAATTGGTTTTAATATGGCCTCCTACAGTTGCACTAATTTTGAAAAAAATCATGTAAATTGGTAATAAGGGAAACTGAGAAAGTCTGAACATAGCATTTATTAGAGAATCATGACAAAATAATAAGATTTGCATAGAAAATTTAAGTTATAGGATCATCTGTTTATATAAAATAAATAAATATAATCAACAATAGCAAATAATGTATTAC